AACCACTTCGTGACGGCACCGAGTCTGGAGGGATAAGCCCACCTCTAGGTGGCGCTCTCAAGCAGATGGACTGACAGGGGAGGAAGGTGAAATCAATAGCAGAGACTGTTATAGATGTTCTTCCAACAGTACTCTGTTGGCTTCCTCTGCTGCCATCCTCCCCCATCCCCCCGTCCGCCTGCTCAAGTACTCAGGAGTCAAGGTCACCACTTGTGTGCACATGTGTTTTTGGGTCTAAATATGTGGACAATGCAAAGCAAATGTGGCTGGTCTTTCTTCACTCATGAGAGTCTACTCTGAAACTCGGTTGAAGAATCTGTATCTCGAATAGCGGGGGTCAACTTCTAAAAACACTGCACGTCCATCCGCTACGGTTACTATGGAAACCTGGTGTTTTTCCAGCCATTGAAAGACGCTCTAACGAGGAGCTTAGTTCTGGAAGTAAAGTGCTTACAACACTCGCCGTATACCACTGTTTAACGAAATAATCAGGGTTCGAGTCTGGGTTCGAAGGTCAAGATGCTGCTTTTCACTCATACGCTCAGGATGGACGACAATGAAGGAAGAGCCAATATAATGGGACCACTTTAAAGATTAACCCCCATACACAATCACAAAAAATTCGTCCTTTGGACCGTCAGAGGCTGACTGTTAGTCTTGGTGTAGAATTGCTTCAAAAGGTTTCACGGATCCGATGAAGGTAGTAAAAGCCTAATTGTGTCGGCTTTCTTTTGAATCTGTTTTTTTTATGTTGCACCCGGGCGCCTTCAGCTTCGGCATGGTGTTGCGACCTTATAACGAGTTCCTATCGTTGCCCGGTAGGCACCCTCTGTCGGTTAACACAGGGACCTCCTCGTCCCGTCTGGATCTTCAGTGGGTGAACTACTTGTACCTCACGTCATCTCTGCAAATAACGGGAAATCAAAAAGCATCGATATAATTAATCGGGACAATTGTGTTGTTTTTCTCTTGTTTTTCTGGGTTTTTTGAAGCGAATGCACATCTCGCTATAATGTTCAGATGAGAATCCCGTTGGATGTAGGAAGGTCCCAGCTGTTCGTTTGGGGGAATCCTCTTCTCCACACGCCATGACACTTGGCAGAGAGAGCTGGGCTCTGGACACGCGGATTGGTTGCTGCCACAAGAACTGAAACTAGTTTATTATTTTTTATTATTATGGGATTCGCGTTTGTTTATAAAGCAGAAGGTACAAAACAGTTTTTTGTCTCTGGTCATCTTACACACTTTTTCAACCGCCGAAGCTGGGGATTGTCTCACCTTTTCGGTTCCAAGGAGTTTTTACGGAGAAGTTGGACGCAGAAGGTTTCGGTGCGAGGCTTCTTCTGTTGGGCATAATACTCCCTCCACTTCACCACGAGTCTTTGGTTTGGAATATTTTTACTCCTTGCTTATGGCACTAATGTTCTGTATTCTGGTACTGTGTCAGTTATCGTCATTAGTTTGTACTTTGGGGTGTGGTTTTATTGTGCGAGTTTTTGTATTTGTAAGTTTTCGCTTAATTCTTATACGCTATTCCTAATGCGCTCTGGTAAATTGTTTTGTATGTTCTGTGTGTGTGGTGTTTACATGTTTGTCAGGCATAAATAACATTACTCAGTTCAGTTTGTGTAGGGAAGGTGCATGCTGTTTTCTGTTTGGTCCTTTTATTTTTTTGCTATTTTTATATTTATAACATATCCACAAAACGTTTTTTCCTTCTCTGAGTTTTCAATTGATTTTTTACGGTTTATAACTTAGTTTTTTTATTGTGCAGTTCCTTTGATAACTGTTTATAAATTGGTGCTCTATCAAATACAGGGGATTGGGATTTTAAAGTTGGTATTCATTAGAGTTAATTTACTGTGTCATTTGATCTATTAGAAAAAATACACATTATTAGAAACAGAATATAATGTTTATATTGTACCAAAGGGTCAAGAAATCATTAAATTCTCCTAAGTCCAAGAAGATGTTTGAGCTTTATCTGTTAATTTTCTGTGCTGATCACAAAACCAATACAATTATTCTGTTTAATTATCTTTAGTCATAACAAGTCTTACACTTTATTGTATCTTATATATATATATATATATATATTTATATTTGTCATATATTTCATATATATATAAGCAAGTACGCTTGACACTGTCTATTGGTGGCGGGCTTATGGTATCCCTCTCTGGGTCCTGAGACTCCAGGATGTGGACTGGCGCCACAGGGTGGTGGACTGCCCTGAGGGGAAGGCTGACAGAGCGGATCCCCTGATGAGGACCTCCGCACACTCTGCCCCCCTCGGACACTCTCCGCGTACGTTCTCCCTGTAGACGTGGATCGCCTGTGGGGACACAGCTGCGTTTCAATTAATGAATCGGATCAAATGATCACATATGTTGAACTACAAAAACAAACAGTAAGCAAACGTCAAGAGAGGAAGAACTTACACACAAACATTTAGGCTCATATTGTTTATCCAATAACTTACCATATCTTTAATCGAGTTTAGCTGTGAGGCCCGAACCAAAAACCCACCTTGAGCCTCATGTTCATGAAGATTGTGTCCATAGAGCTTAATTCAACAATAATCTAAAACACGTGTAGTGCTGTAAATTTGTTTTTTATTTTACTATTAAACTTCTTGTAGTCTTCTTTGAGGTCGACTGCTTATAACTTATATTAACTCACTCATTTGTTATGCTAAGAACTATGGATTTCTTGTAGTTTTAGATTCCAAATTTCTATCTTCGAGCAGTGGTTTTTTTCAAACAGCGGTTAACGGGAAACATTATTTCATGTGTTCACGCTTAATCTATAATCAGGAATTTTTGTGTATTCGTAACAAAAAACCTGCGCAATACCATGAATATTAAAAGCACCTTGTAAAACTTATTATTACTCCCAGAGCATGGATACGTTGGATGTTACTGGATCTTGTTTCGTCATTGTTCCCACAGCTTCATTTCTTGCCATGTCAACGTGGTATCATTGGACCCATAAACACTCTAGGACTATTTCTATTTTACATATTTATTTCGTTACTTCTAATTGGGTTTAAAGTAAGAGCGTTTAATTCTATGGCTCAATATTTCTTATCATTTAGGGATCAAATGCATCAAGACCTGGCTTACGGTATTATTTTAGACTTTTATATAAAATAACTTTCTCAGTTAATTTCAATATACAGTATGCAGAAGAAACGTTTAAACTCCCCATTTCCCAAATCTATAACTCTAAATAAATATCTTAGTACTAAGGCATGAACAATATACAGTGTCCTACATAAATGCCGGTCATTTTTTGCGTGAATAATACCTATTTGCTTGTTATTTATCTTTTATTATTTAATTATAGACTATAGGCTCATTGTGTGGTGAAGTCCCGTTACTTTTCCACTTCAAAGGGGAATTACCACTAGATATATGATTTACAACCCCAAATTCTAGAAAACACCCCAACATTCATGTTCTTACTTTGTCCCAGTGGTCAACAAACTCACATCTGTCCCAAGTGAGTCAACACTCACATTTGGCCCAGAGCTGGTCACAGCTACATGTGGTCCCATGTGGTTCATAATCACATTGGTCCGAAGGTGGTCCAACTCTCACATGGGGGCCCCAGTGGTCTAACCTCACTTTGTCTACGAATGTGTGTCCACTACTCACATTGGGCCCTGTGGTCACTAATCTCCACATTGGCCCAGTGGTTCAAACTCACATTGTCCCAGTGGTCTCAATCTCACTTTGTACGAGCGCAGTGGTCAAAACTCACATTGGCCAGCCCAGTCGGTCAAATTGGCCCCACTGTGGTCTAACATCACATGGCCCCTGTGGTCAAACTCACATTGCCCAGTGGTCAAACTCACATTGGCCCAGTGGTCAAACTCACATTGCCCCAGTGGTCAAAACTCACATTGCCCCAGTGGTCAAACTCACATTGGCCAGTGTCATACTCACTTGCCCAGTGGTCAAACTCACATTGTCCCAGTGGTCAAACTCCACTTGTCCCAGTGGTCAAATACAGTGTCCAGTGGTCAAACTCGTAGCGTTTCTGTCTTTCAGCCCTGGCTCCAGCTCCTTCACCAGTGCAGCTTCCTCCTGCTCCGTGATGATGTTGGGCCTCACTTCACCTGTGACAAAAACAATGTAGATTAGAAAGTCTGTTTAACAGGAATGCCTCAAAACTCTCTGATTTCGTATGGCACATGGCAAGATTTCCTGGACCAAAGTCAGCTTCACTGTAATATCTAAATGGCTTCGCTTATAATAATCTACACAGGATTAGATTGCGTTTGTGTTCTGAAATTTGTTTCAGTTGGGAGGGTGAAGTTTTGGTCAATCTGAAAGACAGACCAAAGAACTAAAGACCTAAAAAACATGCACAATAGTATCTGAATGTAGAATGTGAGGTTGAATGGATGGTGTTGGGTCAGAGGCTTTTGATGGTCCAGTGTGTTCTGGACTCGCTTCTGTCAATCACCGTGTGTGGAAGGATTGGAACCTATATCTGAACTTGAAACATTGTAAAAGGGCTTTGGGTCTGTACCTTGGTCTGTAAAATGCGCTATATAAATAAAACATTACTTCAGAATCAGAATCAGAATCATTTTTATTGCCACGTGAGTAACAAAGTTTACCACTTGGAAATTGTCCTTGGCAGAGGGAGCGTGCCACTTCGCCATTTGCGGCGCTGTGTGCAGCAGAAACAGCAGAGAGCAATACAATTACAGTTCACAGACACAAATTGGATAGACACAATTGTGCTTTTTATAAACCCACGGTTTTTTTGTATCTCGGGCTTGAGCACCTCCGGCAGGCCGGCCCTAAATGTAGCTGTCAGAGGGGGGCGGGTATCAGGGAGGGGCGTTGGGTGAGTAGGAAAACAATGAGGAATGGAGGGGAGGGGAGGGAGCAAGATGGATAGGTTTAGTTAGGGAGGCGGGGGGTGAGGGATCCTTGCTGGAGACTGAAATAGTGTGAGTTGTTGTAGATTGGTGGACCTTGTTTATGGCCTTGGTCGAGGGAATGTGAGATAAGAGTGGAGAGAAGGAACTGGAGGAGTGAAAAATACACATCGCCTGAGTGGGACAATATTGTATGCAATGTAGCAGTCAAAAAGCAGGCAGGATATTCTATTAATTCCATTTAAACCGAATTTACGGCGCCCTCAGACCTCCGTACACTGGGGCAATCCAAGGGGGTCAGAGAGTTTCAAGCCTGGCAAACGATGTCATTCAATCTCAATTCCAGAGTTTTATGCCCTCCATCTAGTGAACGAGCTGCGTAGATCTTTGATCAATGGCTCCACCAACACCACTCTCCTTTGTCCAGCCACAGCGCTCTCAACACCACGTCGCGGCTAAGCTCCTTGTACATCCCATCAATTTTGTCGGCCAGCTAGGTCGTGAATCTTGCGAACTGCCTTGCCTCCGAATTTGTGGTAGAAGAGGATCGCTCCAAACCAAACAGGAGGATTCCCTACCACCCATAATGCCAAAAGATATATACGTCTTCCGAATCTTCAATGGACAGGGTCGACAGACAGAGGGGCTGAAACTTGTTCCAGCTGTCAAGTGTATTCCCCGCAGGTGAAGGCCCGTCCGGGCACACGGGCTCTCCAGACCCACGCTTTCGTGTTGAAAAGATAGAATCAATTGCGTTGAGGGACCAGTTAATCATTTCCATTCTGTTAAAGTTGTGTTCTGTGGCAAAACTCCAGGAAAAAAAGACAAAAAACAGGAGATAGCAAGCCGTTCAGAAGCGTACTAGTACTAACTCCTACAGTACTAACTCCTGCAGTACTAACTCCTTCAGTACTAACTCCTGCAGTACTAACTCCTGCAGTACTAACTCCTGCAGTACTAAATCCTTCAGTACTAACGTTACTCCTGCAGTAATAACTCCTGCAGTACTAACTCCTGCAGTACTAACTCCTACAGTACTAACTCCTGCAGTACTAACTCCTACAGTACTAACTCCTGCAGTACTAACTCCTTCAGTACTAACTCCTTCAGTACTAACTCCTGCAGTACTAACTCCTGCAGTACTAACTCCTGCAGTACTCTCCTTCAGTACTAACTCCTGCAGTACTAACTCCTACAGTACTAACTCCTGCAGTACTAACTCCTGCAGTACTAACTCCTTCAGTACTAACTCCTGCAGTACTAACTCCTACAGTACTAACTACTACAGTACTAACTCCTGCAGTACTAACTCCTGCAGTACTAACTCCTGCAGTACTAACTCCTACAGTACTAACTCCTGCAGTACTAACTCCTGCAGTACTAACTCCTGCAGTACTAACTCCTACAGTACTAACTCCTTCAGTACTAACGTTACTCCTGCAATACTAACTCCTTCAGTACTAACTCCTACAGTACTAACTCCTGCAGTACTAACTCCTACAGTACTAACTCCTGCAGTACTAACTCCTTCAGTACTAACTCCTTCAGTACTAACTCCTGCAGTACTAACTCCTGCAGTACTAACTCCTGCAGTACTCTCCTTCAGTACTAACTCCTGCAGTACTAACTCCTTCAGTACTAACTCCTTCAGTACTAACTCCTGCAGTACTCTCCTTCAGTACTAACTCCTGCAGTACTAACTCCTTCAGTACTAACTCCTGCAGTACTAACTCCTGCAGTACTAACTCCTTCAGTACTAACTCCTGCAGTACTAACTCCTACAGTACTAACTCCTGCAGTACTAACTCCTGCAGTACTAACTCCTGCAGTACCAACTCCTACAGTACTAACTCCTGCAGTACTAACTCCTGCAGTACTAACTCCTACAGTACTAACTCCTGCAGTACTAACTCCTGCAGTACTAACTCCTTCATTACTAACGTTACTCCTGCAATACTAACTCCTTCAGTACTAACTCCTGCAGTACTAACTCCTACAGTGCTAACTCCTGCAGTACTAACTCCTACAGTACTAACTCCTGCAGTACTAACTCCTTCAGTACTAACTCCTGCAGTACTAACTCCTGCAGTACTCTCCTTCAGTACTAACTCCTGCAGTACTAACTCCTGCAGTACTAACTCCTGCAGTACTAACTCCTGCAGTACTCTCCTTCAGTACTAACTCCTGCAGTACTAACTCCTGCAGTACTAACTCCTACAGTACTAACTCCTGCAGTACTAACTCCTACAGTACTAACTCCTGCAGTACTAACTCCTTCAGTACTAACTCCTTCAGTACTAACTCCTACAGTACTAACTACTACAGTACTAACTCCTGCAGTACTAACTCCTGCAGTACTAACTCCTGCAGTACTAACTCCTACAGTACTAACTCCTACAGTACTAACTCCTGCAGTACTAACTCCTACAGTACTAACTACTACAGTACTAACTCCTGCAGTACTAACTCCTTCAGTACTAACTCCTGCAGTACTAACTCCTACAGTACTAACTCCTGCAGTACTAACTCCTGCAGTACTAACTCCTGCAGTACTAACTCCTGCAGTACTAACTCCTGCAGTACTAACTTATACAGTACTAACTACTACAGTACTAACTCCTGCAGTACTAACTCCTACAGTACTAACTCCTGCAGTACTAACTCC